GTCCTGGACAGAGCTGGAGAAAAATGTAGAACAAAATTCTAACTCACAAAAAAAGACCAGACTTACTGGCCTGACAGAGACTGGAGAAAACCTGAGGGTTTGGCCCCCGGACACCCTTTTAGCTCAGTAATGAAGTCACTCCCAAGGTTCACCATTCAGCCAAAAATTAGACAGCCCTAAAAAACAAAACAAGACTAATGGGGCACAACAGTCCAGGGACAAGGACTAGAAGGCAGGAGGGGACAGGAAAGCTAGTAATAGGGAACCCAAGGTTGAGAAGTGACAGTGTTAACATGTCGTGAGGTTGTTAACCATTGTCACAAAACGATATGTGTACTAACTGTTTAATGAGAAACTATTGGCTCTGTAAACCTTCCTCTAAAGTACAATAAATATATATATGTATATATATATATATATATATATACATATATATATACAACATTAAAAAAAAAAGAAAAGAAAGAAAGAAAATGCTCATCTTTACTGGGGTCAGAACCTGAACTGGGAATCTGAGGCTAGGGAAGGAGAACCAACACTTGCTGGTCACCCATTATTTCCTGCATGCTTTCTTTTTTTTCCTAAGGTACACTATGCCATTGAATTTTCACAGTAGGCTGTGAGCTAGGAGCCAATTGCAGTTTCAGTTTTACAGAAAAGGGAATTGAGACTCAGGGCTGTTAAGATAGGGAGGTGGTATAATGTAATGGTTAAGAGAATGCCGCAGGAATTCAGATCCCAGCTCTGCTGCTTCTCGTCGAGAGGCCTTGGGCAAGTTAGTGGACTCTTGCAGTTTCCTCCTCTGTGAAATGATATTAATAATTGTTCTCATCGCAGAAGGGTTTTCAGTCCAGGGTAGAGGGGACTTAGGATTTTCCCCTCCCTGCATGCTATCTCTGCTCTGGAGGGGCACTCTATACCAAGGCCAGTGTTGTCCCTGAGTCCCCTCTGGGATAGAGGCTAATCAGGTAGGTGCTGGGAGCTGGTCCAGTCTTCAGCGCAGCAAACCAGAGCATTCTGGTCAGGCCCAGAAGTGGACCCAGCCTGCTGGGAACTTTCTTCCACCTATGGATGGCCTGGGCCCTGGCTCGGCCCCATGGAAATGTCCAAGCAGGGCCATTTCCTTCCTTTCAGTAATGCCATTCCTGAAGCTAAACTCCAGCAGGACCAGCCTCTATGCAAGTCCTTGACCCCTGTTCCTACAAAAAAAAAAAAAAAAAAAAAACAAACTTGCCAATGAGTCAATTCCAACTATGGCGACCCCATGTGAGTAGAACTGTGCTCTATAGGGTTTTCAATAGCTGTGACTTTTTGGAAGTAGATTGCCAGGCCTTTCTTCTAAGATGCCTCTAGGTGAATTTGACTGGCAGTCTTTTGGTTAGTAGCTGAGCGCTTAACTGTTTGTACCACCCAGGGACTCCCTACTCCCACCAAACCAAACCCGTTACCATGGAGTCAATTCCAACTTCTAGCTACCCTATAGAACAGAGTAGAACTGCGCATAGGGTTTACGAGGCTGTAATCTTTACAGAAGCAGATTGCCACATCTTTCTCCTACCGACCCACTGGTGGGTTCAAACCACTGACCTTTCAGCCAGGCACTGCAGTGGCATTGGTGGACAGGACAGCCACAGTCCGTAACGTCACATAGTCCAGTTAATAGATAAGAGGCAATTTCTATAGTATGATCAATAGTACTACAGGACAAGTATACAATTCATTGCTTTTTAAACATTAATTGCCTTTTAAATACCGTGTGTATGTAGCCTCTCATTCACTTTGTGTAATCTTTTTGTACTTTGATATCTGGTAACCATACTTTTGGGGAGGTGAATAGTGAGGTGTGACTGTTTTGCTGTGAAACTTTCCGCCTCTCCTGCATCCTTCATAGGGTCGCTATGAGTCAGAATCGACTCAACGGCAATGGGTCTTTTGCATCCTTCACACCCGTGGGCCCCTGGGATGGGCAGTGGAGTTGGGTCCACTGGGGAGCCAGCTGGGTATTTCCGAATGCGTAGTGCTCTCACGTACATTACGGGGTCCCACCCAATGCGCATTATGGGTGACATATGCTCCCTCTTTTCCTACAGCCCAGGCTCTGGGCACCTTACCCCAATCATCAGAGCCACGGACCATATGAACAAAGGGGCTTGAGCAAACATGGAAGAGTTTCCTGATTGTAGGCAGCTTTTTGAGCAAGCACACCAAGCAGCAGGAGCCATAAGATTACCGGTATGGAATTAAATCTTCCCAACCTATCTATGGAGCCTTGGTGGTATAGTGGTTAAGAGTTTGGCTGCTAACCAAAAGGTCAGCAGTTTGAATCCACCAGTCGTTCCTTGGAAACCCTATGGGGCAGTTCTACTCTGTCCTATAGGGTCGCTATAGGGTCCTATGAGTCAGAATCCACTTGATGGCAATGGGTTTGGTTTTTGGTTTAACCTGTCTATGGACTCTCTGGATGATATAAACGGTGAACGAGCTTGGTTGCTAACTGAAAGGTTGGAAGTTCAAGTCTACTCAGCGGTACCTTGGAAGAAAGACCTCATGATCTACTTCCGAAAAATCAGCCACTAAAAACCCCATGGGACATAGTTCTACTCTGATACACATGGGGTGACTATGAGTTGGAGTCAACTCAACAGCAACTGGTTTTTGGTTTTTATCCTCCATTTACCTCCTTGAGTTTCAGACAGGCAAGTCAGAATGGTAAAGCTGAAGAGCTTGGCTGTGTGCCTTTCTTTGCCTTGACTTCACCTGTATGGGCTGTGTTGAGTACTGTAGGGTTTTATGGAATTTGAGAGAATATACGGGATATATAGGAGAGCTGCAAAATTGCGCTAGTAATTGGTAGTTCTGAAACCTCCATGGTTCCTGGGTGATTTTCTGGTCTGGAACACCTAAACTCAGAGACTGACAGTAGTGGCTTGACTAACGTCCCCCCAAATTCATATCTACCTGAAACCTCAGAATGTGACCTTATTGGGAAATAGGTTCTTTGCAGATGTAATTAAGTGAAGGATTGAGATGAGATCATCCTGGATTATGGAGGGTCCTCAATCCAAGCAGGGTTCAGGACACAAAAAGACACAGGGAAGAAAAGAAGACCATGTGAAGACAGAGGCAGAGATTGGAGTTATGCTTCCACAAGCCAAGGAATGCCTGGGGCCAGCAGCAGCTAGAAGAGGCCAGGAAGGATTCTCCCCTAGAACCTTCAGAAAGAGTATGACCCTGCCCATACCTTGATTTCACACTTCTAGCCTCCAGAACTCTGAGAGAATACATTTTTGTTAGTTTAAGCTACTTTTTAAGCCACGCAGGTTGTGGTACTTTGTTCCAGCAGCCACAGGAAACTAAAACACTGACCCTATGGCCACTATCAGCCTCATGTC